ACTCCACCCCCACCCCTTTCTCCCTCCCTTTCGTTGTGTACAACTAATAAATGTGTACGAATGAGCATCTTGAAGAGAACAGACAATATAAGCTGAAGATCTGAAGAAGAAAAGTGTACAGGAGAATATCCCCTTTTGCTCTGCCTCCTTTCATAAACGTGCAAGTGTGCTGTCAAGGCACACGGGGATGTGGGCAGCTGGCGCTCGGCGACAATAAACGAGGCCCACCCTTGTACATGAGAGGCACAGTGAAAAGGGAGCTGCAAGAACAGATATAGAAGAAAGGGTGCCCCGAAGAAATCCAACGTAAAGATAGTCGAAAAAGGGATAGAACGGATCTATTCTGCTCCATGTTGCTTGCACAGATGTGAAAATTTTTAATTGTCTGCTACAGAGGTAAAGCGGCATCGATTTTGGATCTGCTCATCTGGTGGGTGGAACAGTGGCTGTTGTGGTGCAAACCTAGAACAGGCTGCCTACCATATGAACCGTCGACAGAGCATTGTACTGAAAGGTTATCACCGCCAGGGCGACCTGTTGCAGACCAAATCCTGCAACTAAACACCCTTGCTTTGGATCAATCCCCGTCCTCGTCTGTCCATAGAGAGGGAATAAATACACGGGAGAAAGCCAAGAAATCTGTTCAATTCCACTATGTGATGACCCACCTGAGATTTGGCTAGCATGTGGTTCACATGCCTTGTGTCCCGAGGATTAAATTGGGGTAGCCCGTGCGGGTTTCTGTCGTCATATATATGATGACACATTGACAGTCAATACTGCACTCAATGTACGGCAGGCCGACATGTCATGTGCAATTTGTAGACGGGCTAGAACGGTGGTGCCTCTACAAGATTGCGGTCGTCATGCCTCTGTGTTCCTAGCATGTACGAGCCACGTAGCCTGTGACATCTGTCTACGCCGTGCCATTCGATGCAGCAACTGCAACAACGAGAATTGGCTGCAGTGCTTCCACAGTCCACAGCCCTAACAGGTCCTGTCCGGTCTGGCAAGGGCTGCTGCTCAACTCAAAAATCTTCTGCAGCCCAAGTGCTGACTGGCCTCTTGTACTATGCTGGAGCAGTCTGCTCCAGCGGTGAGAATATAGAACCCTGTCAAAGTTCGTTGTATCTTTGTCCTGTCCTTTGCCACTCCACTTCCTCCCCTACCGTTTTTCCCCCCATTACCCTTTCCCCCTCTCCTGCCCCTCACCCACTATGGAACTCCACCTCCTATCCCTTTCCTTCCTTCCTTGCCTTGTGTGCTACTAGTTCATGCATACGAATGAGCATCATTAAGAGAACAGACTAAGGGCATACTCACACAGGGCCCTCAAACTCGCAAAATCACAAAATGAGTGGCCAGATCGAGTCTTTGTAAAGGAAGGACTAGATCTGGCCGCTCACTTTGCGATTTTGCGGTTTTGAGGGCCTAGTGTGAGTATGCCCTAATATAAGCTGAAGGTCTGAAGCAAAATGAACAGGAGTCAGAGCTGGGCACCGGGTGCCCAGAGCCGCACCCACCTGCACCCACCCGACCCACAGGGTGATGGGTTGGATTTAGGGTCTACATGAGCTGTCTTGGGTGGGTTATGGGCGGGTACAGCCAGCATGCCTTTCTGGGTGACGGGCGGGTGAAGATTTGACCTGGGTCACCCGCTGGGTGGGTGGCAAGCGGGTGATGTCTTGGCCTGGGTCACCCGACCCATAGTCCTGTCTCTTATACACATCTAGATGTGTATAAGAGACAGCACACACACACACACACACACACACACACACACACACACACACACACACACACACACACAGAGTGGGCAGATGGGCGCACCCTTTGTCGTTTGTCTCCTGTCCCTCTTCTCGGTATGATTCTTCTGACGATTCCTCTCACCCCTCGCAAGTGTGTTTACCAAGCTGGCTCATTTTTATCTGAGCAATTTTATTGACACGCTCACAAAGGAAGGAGGGTCAGAGGGACAGAGTGAAGAGGGGAGGAGCGCTGGCCGGGCCAAATTCCGACCGCTACACAATGCCATCTCAATGTGGCAGGCTGTGGTCTCCCGTGAAATGCGATGCACCCTGCTCATGGATGTATACCAGCTCTTTCCGGTCCGATACAGTCATGACGAGCGTGTGTCGAGTTCGGGGGAAGATCTGTCTCTTATACACATCTAGATGTGTATAAGAGACAGGGTGCGGCCTGGTGTGGGTGAGGGCTTTTTTCGGGTCACGGGCGGATCGGGCGTGGGGCTGAAATTTCAAAAAATATTTTGGGTGGGTGGGGTCGTCTAAAAGTAAAAAATAAAATTCTTGGGCCGGGTGGATGGGGAAGGAAAAAAATTGGGCGGGTTGGGTCGAGGATGAGGAAAAAAAAAAATTGCCCACCTCTGACAGGAGTATACCTCCCCATTCACTCTGCCCTCCTTTCATCATGTGCAAGTGTGCCGTTAACGGGGATGTGGGCAGCTGGCGCTCAACCACAATCAACGTGGCCAGCCTTGTACATGAGAGGCATAGTGAAAGGGGAGCTGCAAGAATAAATGAAAGGGGGTTCGGACTTTGAACAGATCTATTGTGTTCCATGTTGCTTGCTATAGAGGTAAAATTGTTTCATTGTTGGATTGTCTCAAGTCGAAGTGATTCCGTTGTCGGCAATAGGACTAAAGCTGCTTCGGTTTTGCACCTACTCATCTGGGTGTAATAGGGGCTGTTAGCCTGTTGCAGTGAAAATTCAAAACACACACACACACACACACACACACACACACACACACACACACACACACACACACACACACACACAGAGTGGGCAGATGGGCGCACCCTTTGTCGTTTGTCTCCTGTCCCTCTTCTCGGTATGATTCTTCTGACGATTCCTCTCACCCCTCGCAAGTGTGTTTACCAAGCTGGCTCATTTTTATCTGAGCAATTTTATTGACACGCTCACAAAGGAAGGAGGGTCAGAGGGACAGAGTGAAGAGGGGAGGAGCGCTGGCCGGGCCAAATTCCGACCGCTACACAATGCCATCTCAATGTGGCAGGCTGTGGTCTCCCGTGAAATGCGATGCACCCTGCTCATGGATGTATACCAGCTCTTTCCGGTCCGATACAGTCATGACGAGCGTGTGTCGAGTTCGGGGGAAGATGGTTGCACTGGCAATGAAGGGTGTTGAGCATGTAGCTGAGCAGGCTGACCGGCGGACTATGCATACATGATCTGATGATTCTGATGAGCACTAAATCCCACCTCTCCTTCCCGCGGGAGTAGTAATTGGAAATCACATTTCGCAAGATGAAAAGCAAATGACATCAAAATAAAATTGTGATTGAAAATGTTCATAAAACCGGAATGGGTGTCGGCATCCTCGACATGATGGTTTGGCCGCTGACATGCAGCCATCCTCAGACACAAAGCATCGACAGGCTATGNGGTGTCGGCATCCTCGACATGATGGTTTGGCCGCTGACATGCAGCCATCCTCAGACACAAAGCATCGACAGGCTATGTGTTCCACAGGAGCTGCTGCAACTTGATGAGAAGACTTTTCTTTAGCAACCCCTCGTATCTTGTCCAGCAAAATGTGTAGCTGTTCTTTTTTTTTTTCCGGTGGTAATTGCGGCTGTTCTTGATCGGGAAGGGTGAGAGGTGTTTGCCAATAGGGCGGGGTCACTGGGGTGGGGTTTTTTTTTTTTCACCGGCTGGGGGCGTGGGGTTGGATGCCCATCGAGTGGGAAAAAAAAAAAAAAAAAGGAAAAGAAAAAAGGATCCCCATGGAGTGAATCCCCACTCGAAGGAAGATCAGATTGGTTACCACGTCAGAAGCGGTCTGGTCCCTCCTCAAGGTCATCGTCCGCCCGTCCTACGTCGACCATTGCGCCTAGTGTGCTATTCAAATCGAAATCTAAAAGTCGTCGTCTAAACTGGGTTTTTTTTTTTTTCCTTCAGCCAATTCTCTTCCAATACAGCCCCCTGCCAAATACAATGCCCAGGTGTTCGCCTGTGCGTTGTTTTCCCAGGTGTTGTATGCGGGTGAAGAAGGTAGCATGGCCCCTGCGCAAGGTGGACGCGCGAAAATCGAGAAATGGTCCACTCGGATGAGTTACATCTGCTTTTTTCTTTTCTCTTTTGATGACGCTGAGTGGGATCTTAGCAGCCTACAAGCTACTAAAGGCAACCCTTAGCTGTAGGTCTGCCATGGAGATATGCGGAAACTCCATCCATTGGTGGGGACCACGATCTGCAGGGCACAGAGAAGATCGCGTTGTTCACATGAATGCAGCATACGGTCATTATTGATGTATTTAGGCTGAAAGATAACCCAAAAACAGTTATAATGATCGTACGTTGTATTCGGGTGAAGAAAGTAGCATGGCCTCTGTGCAAGGTTGACGCGCGAAAATCGAGAAATGGTCTGTACGAGAAATGACTGTATGTTGTATTCGGGTGAAGAAGGTAGCATGGCCCCTGAGTCACATCTGCTTTTTTCTTTTCTCTTTTGATGACA